CTGAACTCAGCTGGTTGGTATATGTGTTTCAATTGGCACTATTTTTTAAATTGAATTTCCGAGTCTTTGGACATGTCAACCTTTCTATTATATACCTGATTCGCTTCACTAATGTACTTTACCTGCTGACCCTTGAAAGTATTTGAGTTTCTTAACCCTCATAAAGATGGAATCTTCCTAAAAAGTGTTGTGTCCTTTCCACTATTCTTAAACAGAACATCTAGAATATTGAAACCAACCCAATACTCCCATAGACTGTTCGTTCTGATAAACATAGAAATTGGCCCTTGTGCTGTTAAAGCTTGAAACTTGTATTTGTTTTATCTGAGTTCCTTCCTCCTTCAGAGCCTCTCAAAAACAGTATCAAAGAACTGAAACTCACCAGAGCATGGCACCAGATGCCTCCTTGCCTCTCCCTAGGTCTTGTTTTCTTACACATTGTTACGTTTCTTCCCTGCTACATAAACCCTTAGTTTTAGTCAGTCAGGGATATGAATTTGAGACTGAGCTCCCATCTCCCTGATGGAGCGCCCAATTAAAGCCTTCTTCCTTGGCAATACTTGTTGTCTCAGTGATTGGCTTTCTGTGTGGTGAGCAGCAGGACCTGGACCAAACCTCTGGTGTTTCAGTAACAAAATAACTTAACATTCTCTTAATAATTTAAAGTTATCACTGTGAAACTCAGTGATTATACCATGCAGAAATGTCCTTGTGGATTATTCAGATTTGGGGACAATCAATAGTCCCAGGATGCTATGCTTCTTGAGGTTTTTAAAGTTGTTTCATCTTGCCCCATCTATGTGATCATTAAGTATTCTATTTCACTGTTGCCTCTGTGCCTGCCATCACCATACCAAACACACATACACATAAGAGAGAGAGACTCTTGACACATATAAACCCTTTCTAACCCTCCACTGTTCTGTGGTCTAGAAAGCAAGAAGTTAATTTGATTAGAATTGTGTGCCGAATAATAGTAAATAGGATCTGAGTTAGGAAGTCCTTAAGGAAGTTGGCTCTCTTTTGAAAATTTGTTTCATTTTTAATTTTTGCGGGTATATAGTAGGTGTATATATTTATGGGGTACATGAGATGTCTTGATACAGGAATGCAATGTGAGATAAGCACATCAAGATGACAATAATAAACTTAAATGCAAATTCTTCATCACCATTTTGACTGCTCAGAAATCATCACTATTTCAGTTACAGGCTCTTTAAAAAAGGTCAGTAAATACATGACTCCTGTCTAATGAAAAAAAAGTTAGCAATTGAAATTCTGAGAATACAATCTCTCACAAAAAAATCAAAGCCCACTCACTGAGCCAAACAAAAAGCATGCTCACTGACCTCCAATTCTTGGTCATCACTGCCAACTACCAAACAAATAATTAGAAACAAACAGCCACAGACGCTATACTCTTGAGTTGATGAGGAAACACCAAGAGTGCGTTGCACTGTCATACGAGTACTGTCACACAAGTCATTCACATAAGCAGAAAGCCACTTTCCAGTCCCTAGATAACTATGGCCAAGCTAGCCCAGCCAAGAACCTCTTCTCACTCTGTACTTGAAGGCCACAAAAGCAGCTCACTCAGAGGAGCTGGGCTGCCTTGCTCCTCTTAATCCATTCAGCCTCATTGGCCATCCTCAGCCCAGGTTTTTATCTCTTCTCCCTTGGGCTACCACAATGACTCACCCAGCTGACTTCTCTCTCTCCCTGAGTCATCTTGCCACTTTTTAATCCTCTGCTCACATTGCATTGCATCCAGGTAAAGACAAACTTCAATCTGTCTCCCTTTTACCTAAATAAAAAAAAAAGACTACTTTCCTCAACCTTCATCATTTGGCTACATTCAGTCTCATCACAGCCCCAGACTGTGGCCAACCACGTTTCTCTCTGCTTTCCCACTACACCATAGTCATTGCCACCTCCTGCCTTTTTTCATGCTCTGTGGCTTCCGGAAACACTGTCTTTTCCTCTGTGTCTGTCCAAACTCCACCCATCCTTCATACTGCCACTCAAGAAGCTGTTCCCAGACACCCTGTCCCTTAAGGGTTGCTCCTTTCATTCAACTCCTTACAGCTCCCAATGTTTTAAGCACTCATTTTTAATTTCCACTGTCCTGGGCATAGGCCCTGGCCCTGCAGTAGAGCAGGAATCTGACCCAAAACTTTTTTGGCATCTCCTACTCAATATCTATACCTCTAAATCCTAATATGTTCAATGAAGACAACTGCCCTTGTACATGATAACCCTAAGAACAGCAAAGTTTATATTTGGAAAAACTGCAGACCTCTCCCAGAATGACACATTGCCCTTCAAATCCCATGGAGAAAGTGTGTGGGCCAAGTTCCCAGATATCTAGCAAAGAAAGGCAAGTCAGCCTCCTCCCTTCCCCCAACCCACCGCTCTTGCCAGACAGCATTTAAAATGCACTTCAGCGCGTTCCTCTTTTATTTGGAAAGGAAACAAGTCTTGACATTCTGTTTCTCCCATTTCATTAAGGACAGAGGTCATCCCAGGAAGGGGAAGGGTAGTTTCCAAAGAGAATTTGTGAGAGAGTGGAGGTGGGGCATGGGACGCTCTCATCCCTTCTCGTTAGCCCGCTTTACCCTTTGAAGAGAACAAGCCCAGCTTTCACAGTGAATTATTTGCAGGGTGGCCTCTGCCAGAACCGGCTCTCCCTGGCTGAGGCAGTACCCGGAAGGATTACATGATAGCTCAAGGACAGACAAGGTGTCCAGAAAGAACTGGTCAGAGGAGGTGACACTGAGACAGCCTGGAGATAAGGGAGTAGAGAAGGGAGAAGGGAGAAGGTAGGGGGTGTGTGTTAAACAGAAACCCAGAAAAAGCTAAACCTGCACATTTCTCTCTCTCTCTCTCTCTGCCTTTCTCTCACCCTCTCTCTCTCTCTCTCTCTCTCTCTCTCTCTCTCTCTCACACACACATACACACACACACACACACACACGCACAGAAACACATTCTTTGCTCTCCCTCCCCATCTCTAACTCCCCAAGGCATTTCTATAAATAAACGATAGGACCCTGAGCCTGCAATAGGCCCATTATTAACTTTTGCAGTGTTCTGACTATAAGTGTGTGAACACTTTTCCTCACTTCATGGTTTACAAAGCCTTTTCCCATATGTAATCTCCACCTGACTCCTACATCACACACTTGAAAAGTCCTTTAACTTCTCCTCATCAGTCCCATATATAGAATCAGGCACCCCACACCCGTACTCTCAAAGTTCTTAGCCTTAAAGCTGTAAGCTTCAGGTTGGCTACTCCAAAAATCTCTTATGGTTTGAGCCACATTACTTTCAAAATTATTGAATATTGTACATATTTATGGAGTACAATGTGATATTTCGATATATGTGTACATTGTGGATATTTGGATATATGTATACTTTGTGGAATGGTCAAATCAAGCTAATTTAACATGCTTATCAACTCACATATTTACCATTTCTTTTTGATGAGAACATTTAAAATATATCTTTTAGCAATTTTGAAATATGCAATACATTGTTATTAACTATAGCCACCATGCTGTGCAATAGATCCCCAGAACTGACTCCTTCTGTCTAAAAATGAAACTCTGTACATCTTGACCAACATTTCCCCATTCCCTATCTGGCCCCACCTATCAGCCTCTTATAACCACCATTCTACTCTCTACTTCTATGATTTTGACATTTTTAGATCCTAGTGAGATCACATAGGATCTGTCTTTCTGTGCCTGGCTTATTTCACTTAGCATGATGTCCTCCAGGTTAATTCATGTTGTCATCACAAATAACAGAATTTTCTTCTATCTTAAGGGTGACTAGTGTTTTGTTGTGTATATATACTATATTTTTTATCCATTCATCTATTGATGGGCACTTAGGTAATTTGCATATCTTGGGTATTGTGAATAATGCTGCAATTCACATGGGAGTGCAGATATCTTCAACATATTGATTTCAATTCATTTAGAGGTACACCCAGAAGTGGGATTGCTGGATCATATGGTAGTTCTATTTTCCATTTTTTGAGGAACCGTCATACCGTTTTCCAAAATGGCTGTACTAATTTACATTCTCACCAACAGTGTATAAGGGTTCCCTTTTCTCCAGAGGTCTTTACATGCATAATGTCACTTAAATTCCACAAGAATCCTGAAGGGTGAATATGATCAAGGCATGTCAGAGGAGGAAAGTGAAGCTCTAATGCTATGTTATGTGACAGCAGTATAGAGTGTGGGGTGCAGTGTCTTGAACCTAGGTCTGTATAACTATAGTGCACGTGTTCTTCACCCCTGTCCTGAGGTCGTCTTCCTAAAAGTTCTTTATCATCTAAGATTCCAGTGCATCTACCGAGGGGTTTAGTCAGATATCTGGAATGCCAGGATTCATTACCAATTAGGCTTCCCCATGCCTATAGTGGTGTCTTTTACTTTTCACTTCAACATTTATTTTGCCAGACTCTATACTAAGTAAAGTGGGTAAAGTAGTAAATAAGACACACATGTCCTGCTCTCATAGAATTTAAAGTCTGATTAAAAGAGACAGTGCATAAATGCACACACAATTAAATAAATGGACCAATTTGCCAAGAAACTTCAAATCCACAGATAATAAACACAGCATAGTTTTCATTTTTTCCACTGTCCTTGACTGTGCTATGTCAAATCATCTCCTCCCCTTTCCTCCCCTTTAAAAAATCTCACAGTTTCCATTATTTCCTGTCACTTTCAGCTATTCAGTTTAGTCCAGACCGGTTTAAACCCCCATCTCAGATATGATCCCAAGCCCTCTGCCCTCCCAGAGTAGCCAAGACTTGCCGCCACTGGGGCTTGGCGTACACCCAGGTGGGTCTGCTCTGTCTCTGTTCTCACCTCCCTACCCGCCTTGTCAGGATGTGGTTCCCTCCATGGTGGAGGTGGGAAGAGGAAGGGGTGTTTGAGCTCTTCCTCCCCAGGCCCCAGCCCTTGCCACTTGTAACCCACCTCACAAACCCTTGTTGCTGGAGACCCTCATCCAGAGGGTGGCTTTTTTCAGGCGGCAGAGGGGGGCGCAGCAAGTCAGCCCAGGCCCAGTACCTTCCTCAGCATTCTTTTGACCCATGGGAAATTCAACCACCCTGCTGTGCCAAGCTTTGGGAAGGAGCCTGCGCCATGGCCACGCCGTATTTCAGCCCTGCCTTCTCTCTCCAATGTTTCTTTTCTCCCGGGACAGGGCTGACAGCAGGACTGCTGCCCAGGCAGATGTCTAGCCAGTAAACATGACACTAGTGATCCCCTTAGCACCCCCAACTCTCCTTTGGCTTGGAGGAGGGAAAACCCCTGTTCCTGGCCCCGCTCCTGGGAATACGCTTACGAAGAACTCTGTATCTCCTCCAGGCTGAGAACTCCAAGCCCCTTATTCCAGCCCAGACTCCTCCTTACAGACCCAGGACAGGGGCAGGGTTGGTGGTATTAGGGCCAGTTCTGCCACTGCATTGTTGAAGGCTGGTTAAGAGCTCTCTTTAGAAAACCAAAGTGCTCAGCACTTTCTGGGTCACCTTTGGGCATTGGCAGCCATTCCAAGACAACAGAAAAAAATCTCACTCACACCCTATTACATACAATTCTAATTGCGAGACGTGTGAGGAAGGAAAAGAACAGAGAACAGGGTGCTAATGCCCACGCTCAGGATCACACTTCCGGGTCTCAAATCCCAGCTCTGCCCCTTATTAATTGTGTGACCTTGGGCAGGTTACTTAGCCTCTCTGTGCCTCAGCTTCCTTATTTGTAAAATGGTGATGATAATAGTACATACCACATAGGACAAAATGAGAAAATGTAAATAAAACTCTTAACATAGCGCCTGTCACATGAATAAATGCTCAGTAAACGTAAGTTCCCTGAGGGATCCAGGCACCTCATAGGCACCCAACAACACTTGATGAAATAATGAATGAGGTAGTGAGACCCCATCTCTACAAAAAATTAAAAATTAGCCAGGTATGGTGGCACATGCCTATAGTTCCAGCTACCTGGGAGGCTGAGGCAGGAGGATCACTTGAGCCCAAGAGATTGAGGCTGCAGTGAGTTGTGATCATGCTACTGTACTCCAGCCTGGGCAACAGAGCAAGACTCTGCCAAAAAAAAAACAGAATTACACATAGATTTTCAATCCATATTAGAAAGGCTGAGGACCATATTATGTGTAGTTTGAGAAAAGAGAGGGCAGAAATATATCTTACTCCTGTAGATTCAGTGCCTACCACATAGTAGAAGCTCAGTCGATTTTTTGTGTGTGTGTGTTGAACTGAAAATAATTATATTATGCCGAAATCCCTCCCATGGAACCCAGGGGATATTGGTAAAATTAAACCATGTGAAACTTGAGTAGTGTTAATGTTTTGTTCATAACTTTCATGAATTTTGCATATATTTCATGGCACTTATATTAAATTCATAAATAAAATTTTAAAAAAGAATAATGAATGAGGGAGAATGGCTGGGAACACCTATTTGAGATGGGGTGGTCGGAGAATACCACTTGGAGAAGGTGACACTTAAGCTTTGACACAGACGATAAGACAGAAGTCAGCTGAAGAGCAAAGGGATCATATTGCCCTGGAATCAGATTACAGAATAGACCTAGAAAATTCGCCTTTGACATTTTAATACCATGTATAAATACTGGGTTATGAGATATTAATTCCCTCTGGACCAAAGATTGTCATAACTCCCAGGTGCCAAAGTCCTCCAGATACCTCTGTCTCCATCACAGCAGCTCTAACTGTGCAGTTAGTTGCCACCACAGCAGTTGCTTTGGGGGTTTGTTTCCATTTTTTAAAGTTGTTAGTCAGGACTTGGGTAGCAATGAGGTCAAGATCCTGGCTAGATGGTAAGTCAGATTTCACATGATCTAAATGGTCAGAGCCAGAGAGTGTCAGCTACCGCAAGGAAGAGAGTATATCATAAATCCAGAGTAGACATATGAACAAGCAATTTATAGACTGGGCTTACCCAAAGATTAATTTTGAAGGTCATATCATGCAACAGAGTACATAACTGGACACTTGAGTCTGTGCATGTCTCTGGTTACAGCTGGTTTTAGTTACTTTGAATCTGGTCAGCATTATAAATGGCTGGGATAAAGTATCTGCCGGAGGAGTTGGTATAAGCATGTGACTCACCAGCCCCCCTGACTCATGGGACCCACAGTTGTCCTGAGCTATTAATCCATTGACAGAGCATCAGTGAGACACAGGGGCTATGAGAAGATGTACTGACAAATAGCCAGGAGCACCCACTGCCCATCGTTATGACTGTATCCTTTTGGGATACGGAGCATCGATATCTTTTGTTGCTGTAATAGCAAGTTTTTGGCACAGGTGTGGCCTGATCATTGTTTTCAAGCACACTAAACCTAGATGGTGATATAATGGAACTGTTGACACTTCCCAAGACAGCAGGATGTCTCCACCCTGGTTTGATGGTGTTCGTGTAGATAAATAAGGGCTGGGATACTGTGCTAGGAGTCAGAAAGGCAGTGTGGTGTAGGTGCCTATTGTTGTAGGTGGTGGTATCAGCAAGGGGCTTTCATTACATGGTGCCAATTAGAATGTCAAAGAAGGTTGGTTTCCATGTTAAATAGGATTGACCTTTCTGTCACTCAGAACCCCAAGTGTAAGCACTAAGAATCTAGAGAATAGCTGATCCTTCACAGAAACACCTAAGGATTTAGCTTTTATTTTCATGTCTGCAGCAGCAGTGAGAGCCCAGTGGAATATTAGACTCAACTTGATGCAATCTGGCATCTCAAAATCGTAAAGAAGGTTGGAAACAACACATAAAAATGGTCTATTGTCATGAATTCAAACCACATCCTAAAGGCTGCCAGAACAATGCTTTCAAATCCCAGATGTTCCAAAACAATTTATTATTCTTAAAGGTTATACAGGGAAGCAATCACCCTCACCCCACTCCCAAAAAAATAGGGAAAGAAAATAAAAGTCCCGTATAGGATGCAAATGAAAACATTTCTACTGTGCTTGCAGGTACTAATAAAACCTGTTTATAATTTTTTATTGTAAAATATTATTTACGGCCGAGCATGGTGGGTCTTGCCTGTAATTCCAGCATTTTGGGAGGCCAAGGAGGGCAGATCACAAGGTCAGGAGATGGAGACCATCCTGGCCAACATGGTGAAACCCCGTCTCTACTAAAAATACAAAAATTAGCTGGGCATGGTGGTGTGCACCTGTAGTCCCAGCTACTCAGGAGAGTGAGGCAGGAGAATCTCTTGAACCCAGGAGGCGGAGGTTGAAGTGAGATGAGATTGTGCCACTGCACTCCAGCCTGGGTGACAGAGCCAGACTCCATCTCAAAAAAAATATATATATATAAAATTTACATATAAAATCATATATAATGTATATAAAAGAAATGTTTGCTTAAGAAGGAAATTATTAGCAATAATTTGGATCCTCCTTTGTAGCCCTCCCCAATTTCCTCCATCCCCCTACCCAGAAGTAATCACTAGGCCAAGTTTCACTTTTTATTTCTTTGCTTTACTTTATTATTTTCATATATATGAAATATATATTCATTAAATATATATGTATATTCAGTTTTGTGTGGGTTTGAACTCTATGTAAATGAATCATACTGTATGTATTTTCTGCAATCTGCCTTTTTTTGCTCAATTTTATGTTTGTGAGATTCATTCATGTTGGTAGGAGTAGCTGCCATTCATCTTCACTTATGTTTTGTATTCCATTGAAATGATAGAATAGAATTTATTTATCCAATCTACTCAGTGGATATTTGTCTTGATTTCCATTTTTGCTTTTACAGATAACACTGTTATAAACATACTTATGTATCTCTTGATATAGATGTGCAAGAGTTTCTTGTAGGATATATAAATAGAAGTAGAATTGCTCTGCATCTTCAACTTCACAGCATCAGAGTGTTTCCCAAACGGTGGTGGTGGCACCAGTTTATACTCTCACCAGCAGAGTATGAGACCCATTGTTCACAAACTCACCAACACTTGCTTTTTACAGATGTTTAAATTTTTGCCATTCAGGTAGATGTGAAATAGTATCTCATTGTAGTTTTAATTAGCATTTCCCTGGTTATAAATGAGGTTGAGTATCTTTTCATATGTTTATCGGTCATTCACGTTTTCTCTTCTGTGAAATGTGTATTCAAGTCTTTTTGCTTGTTTTTCTATAGGTCTTTTTTTCTTATTAAGTATTGGACTTCTTTATATATTCTGGATACTACTCCTTTGTCAAGTAGAGCTGCTCCCAGTTTGTAGCTAATCTTTTCACTTTCTTTATGTTGTCTTTTGATTTTTTAAAAAAACAAAATTTTAAATTTTAATGTGGTTAAATTAATCAGTTTTTTCCCTTCAGTTTATGTTTTTTCTCTTATTTTAGAAAGACTTTCCAACTCCAAGGTCCTAAAAGACTCCTCTTCTCCAAACGGTTTTTAATAGCTTTCCCTTTCATCTTTAATTATTTAATCCCTTGGAACTGATTCTTGTGCAAGACATGTGGTGGGAGCCTGGTTTCATGTTTTTCCATGTGGATAACCATTTGCTCCAGAGCCAAGTACTCTGAAGTGGATTGTCTTTCCACTCAGCATCATCTCCAGCTCTGTCATAAGCCAGGTCTTCAGATATGGATAGGCTTCTTTCTAGGCTCTATATTTTGTTTCACTGGAAATTTGTCCATCCCTGAGCTAACTGATATACCCCACTGGATTAGTTACATAATTTCATAAGAAATCTTGGTATTTGTTACACTAAGTCCCCCATTATGTTCTTTTCCTTTAGAAGGCTTTTGACTCTTCGTGACTCTTTCTGCTTCTACATGAATTTTAGAAGCAATTTGTCGAGTTCTTAAAAACACACACACAACCAAAAAAACACAAGATACCAACCCATTGGTATCTTGGTTTTAATTGCCATTGCTTAAAGTAGTAGATAAATATCTTCATAATATTACCTTCCTAACCATAAATATGGAATAGTTTTTCATTTGCAGAGCTCTTTTAAAACCTTCCAATACATTTTTATGACTTTTTCCATAAAGATCTTATGAAACTTTCGTTACATTTATTCTAAAGAAATTATATTATTATAATTATTGCTGCTATTGTAAAATAGCCTATATAATGTATATATAAAAAGACTATTTTATAATACCAGCAATAATATAAATATATATAAACAGAACATATAATATATGTAATATAGAATGTATATATACACAGAAATATACCATATATATTCTGTTTATTGCCTATATAGAGATATTCAGTTCACTTCTGGGTGTTGATCTTTGTATTAGTCATCTACTGCTAAGCCATAAATCATCCCAAACTTCATAGCTGAAAACCACAAATATTTATCATTTCATAGTTTGTTTAAGTCAGAAATTCAAGAGCAGCTTAGCTGGGAGTTTTTGGCTCAGGGTCTCATATAAAGTTGTAATCAAGATGTCAGGCAGGCTGCAGTCATCTGAAAGCTTGACTTGGGCTGGAGGACCCATTGCCCAGCTCACTCACACAGTGGTTGTCAAGAGGCCTGAGTTCCTCATTATGCGGGGCTCCCTGATAGAGCTGCTCATTACAGTGCAGCTGCTTCCTTCCCCCAGCACACGTGAATCTAAGTGAGAGAGAGAGACAGGACAGC